TGCATTATCTCATGAGCAATCATAACGTTGTCCGTTATTAAGCGCCCCGGGATAAAGGCAGCTTGTGAGTCAGAGACAATGGAATCCAAATGTTTTTTTAACCGCATTACCAAGCATTTTGAGATGATCTTATACAAGACATTACATAATCCTATTGGCCTATAATCTGATAGAGTGATAGGATCGTTTATTTTCGGGATCATACAAATGTTGGTGTGGTTAATAGCAGGCTTCATTACCGATGTGTGGAAGAAAGATTTTACCTCTGTAATAACATCTTCTCCCACAATATCCCAGCATTGTTTGTAAAAACGAGCCGTTAATCCATCGGGGCCAGGAGCTCGATCATCACCAATTAGACTTACAGCTTCATAGATTTCCTTAGCGGTAAATTCCTTAGTTAAATCATCATTTATAGCACTAGTAACAGATGGAATAAAATCCGCAAAATCCATAGGAGAGACTTGATGATTTGTCGACTTATATACGCTGGTAAAGAAATGTTCAGCATGGTCTCCAATCGCAGAGAAACCTCTGAAAATTGCACCAGTTTCATCTTTGATTGAAACTATGTAATTTTGAGAGAAACGGGACTTCGTAACAGCATGGAAGAATTGTGTGTTTCTGTCACCTTCAGTCATCCATGTGTTGCGACTCTTTAATTTCCAATAGACCTCTTCGTCTCTGTAAGCTATGGCTAAGTCATGTTGAATTTGAGGGATTAACAGTCGATCCGCACGAAGAAAACTCGTCGTTTTTCTTTCCAGAAGGCCTTCAAGGTACTTTATGCGTTTTGCCGAATTCAATTGAAAGTTTTGGCGACACCAGGACATATGTTTTCGACAAACTCGAATCTGATCCATGATGGAGTACCTTTGGAGGTACTTACAATACTCCCAGCCCTCACGAACATACTCTTTAAACTCTGGTACTTGGAAAAGTCTTTTATCAAACCGGAATGGTTTTCTAATGTTTGGTTTAGAGATGTCAATATTTATGAAAAGAGGCCGATGATCTGAGCTATTGAAGTCCAAAAATTCAACTTCAGAATGGGGAAACAGAGCAGCAAACTCGGTGTTAAGAAACACACGATCAAGACAACAAGTCACAGTGTGAGTGTGTCTTTCTCCAATCCAAGAGAACCTATCTCCTTTGTGTTTCATATCTAGTAAGTCACAACAAGCCAACATATGTCTAAAACTCCTAAAACTCCATTCATCACGAGGGGGGCCTCTTTTTTTTTATGAGTTTGAGATTATCTCATTAAAATCTCCCATTAGAACCCAAGCACCATCCCTATTGGTTGAGATCTTTTCTAGACGTTCCCAAAGCTCATAACGTTTATTGTGAATGGGATGACCATAGACACAAGACAAATAAAAACTTAAGTTATTATTAGTAATGTGTACATCGATAAGTCTTTTATCCTGAGAGATCTTGGATAAAGACACATTGCTTTTCCACATTAGAGCCAAACCTCCACTTCTACCTTGTGGAGGTTCAGTTATTACATTAGCAAAGCCTAAACTTAAAGCAAGACTATGTACAACTTCACACTTATTCATAGTTTCCACGAGAAATAAAACATCCAACTTATACATACGACACATACGATGTAATATAGTACTAGTTAATGGCACTCCCACACCTCGACAATTCCAAGAGAGGATCCTCATGTTGGGAACAGTAGGGGTACCGGGCCCCCCGCGCCTCCGTCAAGTCCTGTTGCCGAGCAAGATCCTTGGGACTCTGCTCTTTTCTTTTTTCGAGCCTGATGCATCACCGCCTTATCTTCCACTTCCTCCCAGCGTCTGTAAAAAGCTTCAGTTTCCATCCTCTTTCTCTTTGGAACAGTTGTATCAGGGACATTGCTAGTTCCTTCACCATAAACAGAGCAAGGCTTAAGGAAGCCCCCATGGTTTCTGATCCATTTGGCATGAAGGTAGCGGAGGCGTTCAGCAGTTAACTCAGTGTCTTCAAAAAGACTTGGCAGGGTCGACATGCTTTCATTTTGGTCTGCAAACTCCACCGATTTGCCATTGAACTTGGTCAGCCCAGGAATGTCTTGAAAAGGATCAATTGTTTTCAGAGAAGAAGCCTCTGAAACAGTTTGTTGTTGGTGGTTTGTTGGATCTTTAGGACCAAAGTCGTCATTGCCATCATCACCAGGGGCAGGAGGACTTTGAGGATCATCAAAGCCTAAAGTGCAGTCCTTGATATCATGTTTCAAAGAGCCACACTTAGTGCAGAAACTTCTCAACCGTTCAAACTTGAATTTCACAATTGTTCCCTCAGCATTGTTGAAGTGAAAGATCCTTTGGAAGCGAAGGGGATTGTCAAAATTCCACGCCATCTGAACCCTTACAAACTCCACCATGTTGGCATTTTCATCAAAGTCCACATGCTTCACCAAACCAATTTGGTTTCCCACATACTCAGCCATATCATTCGATAGATACAATAAAGGGATACCCTTGATTTGAACCCAGAAATTGATGATCTTCATCTCCTCATCACTGATGTTTGGGTACCAACGATGAACAGCAAGCATCCAATCGTTAAAAGCCCAGGGACCGCGACGTAACACCAGATTCAAAGCCTCCTCACTCTGGAACACAAATTGGACTCGTCCTTGACCCAAAATACGACCCACACAAGAGTCAGCAAATCCCCATACACGAGGCATCTGCCCAATAAGGGCTCGGAGGTTCTATTTTTTGGGATTGACCGTCGTAACCACCAAAGAGAATCGATTGGCAATAGCCGCACGAGCACAGAATTCCGATGGTAAAGAGACCGGCGTTTCATCAATTCCCAAATCCAAATCTTGGATTGATTTTCGTAAGTAATCACTCATCTTTGAAAGCAATGTGGAAATGATCTTCAGACAGACAAAAGGAGTAGTGAATCGGGATAGAGCAGAGAGGGAATGGAGGATTCCGACATATATATAGTTTCTTTTCCATGGCGGTTTTGGTAAACGGTTATCTAAGAGAAGTTGAAAAACCGAAAACCCAAACGAAAAACTGCTCCGAAAACAAAGCAGAGAGAAACCGTTAGAATCCAAACCAGAAACATGGCTTGATTCTGCCGGAAAAACACTCCGAGAAGGAGAAAAAAGAAGATGGGGATGGAGAAAGTTCCAATCGCCCAGAAAATCGCCGCAGAGAACAGGCGTCATGATACCATTTAAACTAATATTTCAGGTAAAATTAAACAGTTAAACTAAGACCAAATTAAACCGTATACAAACTTTTAAATTTGGATGCTTGTTAAGTTAAGCTTCATATTCATTCGGATTTGGATTCATTTTGATCTTATTTATAATATGATTCTGAATTATTGTCTAAAAATTTTAGCCGATGTGGGACGTTGAACACACATCTTTTTCATCAATTGGGTAATATATGTCCGCCTTTTAAATTTTGAATCACAATATATAGATAAAATAAAATTGAGATTTTTCTTAAGTTTATGTATTATGTGATGATTCAAAACAGTTAAAAAAAATCAAAACAAAGATTATAGGAAAATCATAATTTTAAATCATAACCAATTCTTCTAATATATATATTGTTAAATATGGAATATCGGGTGTAAGAGTTCGGTTTCTTATAACCCGATCCAAAGAAAAATATGAAATATCCGGTGTAAGAGTTTGAAAGAAAATTTGTATCGGATCGGGTACCAAAAATCTGGAATATATTTTTAAGGGTCATTTTGAAAACTACCTTACTTTTTAGTTTTCGTTTGAAAAATACCCCTTTTCTATTTCTAATGAAAATTACAATTTTGTATATGTAAAATGATAGTTTTTTCTAGGGAAAAAAATGATAGTTTTGTCCATATTTAAATTAAAAGGTGTATTTTTAGTAAAATCAAAACTAAATTAAGAATTGAGAGAAAAAAGAATAATATAAATTCGAAATAATATTAATTTTTCTTATAATTATTTTTTTAGATAAAGATAATCTATATAATTCTATATTAAATTTAACAAGATCATATCTCAAAATATTATAAAGTCTATCCCTTTATAGTTTCATGTTATATAAACAAAAAACTCTCAACGTAACAAGCCAATTCTTTAACTCCAAAGTCTGCCCAATTGTAAGATTAATGTAGATTACGATTTAACATTGACAAATTGATATAAGAGATATATATATATATATATATATATATATATATATATATATGTATATATATATGTTTTTGATTAGATCAACGTACGACATATGCTTTAACATAATATTTTTTGTTTTATTTACTTGTGTTATTGATTAGAGATGGAGTACCCAAAAACCAATGGAAATCTAATAAAACTAATGTTAGTCAAGAGATTTTGGATGTAATAAGGAACTATTAAATTTTAATCAAACATAGGAATGTGAATCACTTGATAGGTGAATTCACAATTAGTTTATATTGTTTAAAATTAAATTTAAGATAAGAAATATCTTTAAAATTGTTAGTTACCTCAAATATTAATTTTAGAACTAAATTAATGGATTTTCTGTTTTACGTGTAAATTATTTTTAATTATTATTTACTGAAGCTGTTTTAGTAATTTAATATATTAAAATATAGTTTTTAAAAGAAAAACAAGAATAAGGTATTTTTCAAGCAAAAACTCATAAATAGGACATTTTTGCAAATTTACTCTATTTTTAATCCACCCGGTACAAAATAAACTTCAAACATATACTAATATAGATAGTAGTTTGCTCAATTTTAAACAAGTAATTTTAGTTTTGTTTATGAACGCAAGAGCGACTAAAATTACAAAGTATAAACAATCATAAAATATTTCCATAACTCTCAAAAAATTATTTTTAAGCTCTGTGTTATATTTAAATAGCCTGTAGTGTTTTCTTTAAATAGTTGCCCTAACCCACAAAAAAATGTGTCTGGTCCAGAGAAGTCTGGATTTGCCAGTGGTACAACCTGCGTGCTATTCTCTAGTAGTATATAAGAAATACAAAAATGATTGCTTTCACTAATTGCAATGTTTCGTTTCTGGTTAATCAAAAATTCAATTAACATATATAAAGCATATGTCTACTTGTTGTATACACATACAATACAAGTCAAGATAGATTGTCTATTGTCTGAGAATAGCGACCAAAACATTGCACAATGTACCACAAAAGCTAATGAAAGGGCTCTAAATGTTAAGAAAGCCTCGTTTCATATTCATGAATCTCCTATGCTTCTCACTTCTCCTACGCATCTCTTCCTCTTCTCTGCTTTCCGAGTCATTCTCTGACTCATCATCATCGTCTAACACTATTATCTCCTTATTACATATCTTCGGCTTTTGAGTCATCGATAGTGATCCATTAGAAGGTGTTTCTGAAACTCTGTTCAAAGCATCAGCGGTTTCCGAGCTCTGTTCATAAGACTCATCATCGTCATCGTCATCATCATCCACCACTATGATTACCTCATTTGGCTTGGACTTGGACACTTTGACCTCTTCTTTTACCTGCAACTTGTTTTTCAGCCAATTAGTAATGTAACCAATTGATGCAGTTTTCTACAAATTTCTATGTAATGTTCACTTCACACACTATATAACAGCCTCACCTTTTTGTCGCTTTCAAGCTTTCTCTTTGACGGCAAATTTCCAAAACCACTGCTGCTTTGTTTCTTTGAATCATCCACAGAAAACTTCTTTAAACTCAGAGAAGAAGATGAAGCTTCTGTGCCTGTTTTCTCAATCTTAGGTTCAATATTCTTTTCAACCACCTAAATCAACAAAAGTCAAGAGAAACTTTTCACTATAAATAATTACAAGTGCAAGCAATAATAAAGCAGTCATGACTCATCGCTATTAAGAAACATCTCAAGGTTTTGCACCACCAAACTACTAGACGTTTAGATTAGCAATCAGCACTTGCAAATAACTCTCCTCTTATAGTTTTTTCGCAACTTCACATGCTATTGAAGGGTGCAAGATTTAGTTCCTAATAAACCTAGTTTTTATGACCTAATCAGTTCAATCAAGAAAGCATCATATATAATCACTGCTAATTGCTTTTCCCCAAGCAGGTAAGCACATACCCCTTAACTAAAAACCAGTTTTAAAATACATATTTTTCATAACATATCTACTCGATAACACCAATCATTTGCCAAAATCACATATTTTTCTTAGTCCTTATATAAACAGAAAGAAACCCAAAAGGAATAACAATTTATAACATAATATATATCTTACTGTTTCAGGACGCCAATCTTTTAAAGATTGAACAACTGGCTCGAATGCCGCTGCATTTTGCATTGATCGTCTGATGACACTGATCACTGCGTCAAAATTACGCTCGATGTAAGGATGCTTTGACTTCAACAACCGGCGCAACTGAGCAGTAGTAATTGGCATGTCCTTGGCTATTATTTAACAAAACGAGTTAGACCAAGTTAGGAACCACCGACAAATATCCAAGAACCTGGAGATGAAATAGTAAATTATCTACCTATGTCAAAAAGAGTTTTATTTGGTAATACATAACCGGTGCTCTCATCGTCTGCACGTGCAATGCGATCCCGCCATTCACAAAGACCCTGCAGCTCAGCAACTACTATGTAAGCTTCATATGGTAAAAAGAAAGGTAGATGAAGGGTGCCTTGGATCATTACGCAAGTTGAGAACATACCGCAACAATGGAAAGTTGAACCGCATTGAGATTACCTGACCTAACCCTAACAAAATGCCAAAATTGAAACACATAATACAGATTAGTTTTAAGTTAATAAGCCATGCATAAAATTTTAAATCTAATAGGGTACTGCTCTTCCATATAAAAGCAAGAAAACGATTGACCGGATAGCCAAAAAACAGGGACACCAGGCAAGAAATAAAACTAAGCTTATATTTTCTTTCATGAGGGGGACAATAAGCAACAAACCCATAAGTGTGAAGATATGAATCCCCAGTCAAAAGCTCTTTCTCATATAGTTGCATGCACACGTCATAACTGCCCTTGTATGCCTGCTAGCATTGATAACTTTGTCAAAATGGTTATTAAAAGTTGAAGAAGCCCAACCATAGACCCACTGGACGCAATAGAATACATAAGATTATGGATATAAATGAGTTGCTGCTTGATCTTCATGTGCCAACGACCATGTAATAAGATATGGAAGGTATACCGTATACGTGACAAATAGACATCAGGATCAGTTAGAAAAATGAAAGAAAACATCAGAAAGTTAAACCAGGGACCGAGAAGGAAGAATTGTTCTGTGTTTAATAAGCCATGCATAAGATTTCTATTAAATATTGCAAGAGCAGAAACGTATGTTGGGTTTCTTTCTTAATATTTATCAGGTGAAATCTTAGGGAACAAGAGTCACGTCTCTTGTTTTGGGAGGGAATCATGTATTTCCTTGTTTTCTAATTAAGTTGGGTGTTTTTTTTTATTATAGCATCCTCTTTACTCTATCAGTCGCCCTTAAATCAAAACCCAGAAAAATAAATACCCATAGAATTCGGGAGACTTTGATGGTTACCTCTACCAGAGGAGAGTCAGATTGCTCATCTTCCTTTGCCATTGTGTGCAAATCTATTCGCATTACATCATAAATGTACAAAAGATAATGTGTATCTTCTCTAGCATATCTGCCATCATATGCAAATGTGTTAGCTCAACTCAACCGATGCAAAACAATAACGAGAGTGACTATAAAGAGAATATACCAACCTTGTCATTACATCTGGAAGGGGTCGTATTCTCCAGTCTGCATTTTGGTATCTGCAGCCAATTAGCAAAATAGAAATTGAACGAAGAGTGAGAAGATGAGACTGCAAAGGAACGAAAGTTAATCGAGATTGGATTGTTACGCACTGTTTGTCTGCAGCAACTCCACAATAATGCTTCAAAAGAAATTCCAGACTCTTTCTCTCCAGCTTTAGCACCCTTGAGGCCTGACAGAAAAAAAATCAAGATACTGCTTAAGATTTTAATAATACGTTAGACCCTAAGAACCTTCAAACTAAAGCTATTGTTTAATAGCCACAATAATGTCACGAACATCATTAAAGGAATGCAGGGACAGAAAACAATGAAAGAAAGATTAAGTTTCACTTTATTCCAATAAACTGTTTTCATCCTTCTACATTTCCCTAATGTGTTTTGTTAAAGTGATATCCTATGCCTACACGAAACATGGGTTTGCCAAAACAAAATAACCAGAAATCAAACCTGTCCTGTGTCAAAAAGATTGCAGACATAAATGCCGAAGTCCCGTTGAAGCCAAATAATATCATGATCTGCTCCATGCATTACCTAGTTAAATTAAATGTTTTCATATTACAATAATTGTACTTTAGGGATTATATAGAAAAGAACTTAGCGAGTTTCGGAGAAAACCTTTTTCTTTTTAGGGTCTTTGAAGAGTTCCCTTAGATGAGGACCAATGTGATCCCAAAGCTTGAATGTATCAACAATATAATCCTCGGTTCTGGTGGAGATTTGCATCAAGCACGTTAATCCTTGAAAAGATCTATACTGATTATGCTCCAGATCAACCTACAAAAGGAATAAAAGACAATAAACTTAAGCGAGAAAGATGAACAAGATATACCAATAAAAATGGAAAGAGATAACAGCATCCTAACTCATAAATTAAGTTCTCTATATCTAATTAATATACTGGAGACACAGATACGTTAAGGAAAGCTTAGTATAATCAGAATTCTCATTCTCATTACACAAGCAAACTTCTAAAAGCCTCCACCAATAACTGTCACATTCCAAAAATGCATTGCACATTAGACTAAAAACAATCAGAGGAAGGAAATTTACAGCAAACTCTTCAACACTTTGCAATGTCGCAGCTAAGTCCTCGAGATCTTTGACTTCATCAACAAGCTTGAATGGAGTCTCTTCCAATGGGAGAGGCTTAACAGGAATAATCTCAGTTAGATTTTTATCGACAAAGTCCATCACCGAAAGTTTCTCCTGCAAAGTATTATAAACATATATCAAAACGAGCACGAAGATGCAACCACAATCACATACAGAAAAGGTAACCAAAACAATCATAGATAACAGTTCCACACTCGAGATATTACACTAGACAGCTACGAATCAACACCGAAATCGAAAGAAACAAAACAAAGCATTAAACTAACCAATGGATGAACAAACCGAAGACCGTCCTCACTCTTCTCCAACAAAACATGGTCAAAGGGTTTATTTGCATTTTCCACCAAAATCTTATACTCCTCTTGAGGCTTCGTTATCGTTGGCAAATGAAACGGAGCCTTTGCTTTGCCATGTTTCTCAAATCTCTTATTACTCTCAGCTACTTTCACATCAATTGCCTTCTTCGAATCTTCCTCCATCTTTCGATTCCTCTTGAACTCATCAATGGAATCATCAAATTTCTCGAGAATCTCATCGTTCACTTTAACCAGCGACTCATACGCATCATCATCACCTGGAAAGGTCATCGATTTCTTACCACCAATCGTCTCAAGAACACACTGCGAGGTCCGAGCTATCTCATCGATCGGACGCTTGAACTCGTCGGACTTGTAGAGAGAATGGAAATCTCTGTTCGTCGGAATTGTACGAGAAGACGAAGATAGTTTTGAGAGATTCGCCGGGAAAGAACCACCAATCAACGCCTCTAGAGACTTCACCTCCGCAATGTGATCTTTAGTCATTTTTGGAATTTCGCTTAGGGTTTTAGAATCGCCATTGAAGTCAAGTCTTAGTCAAGAGATGAGCATTTCGTTTTAAAGATTAATCATGATAAGGAGATAATCTTGTTGATAAGCACCTAATCAATCTTGTGTGACATTTGTCAAAATTTTGGTATTTGTTTTGGATAAAAGACCAGTTACATGAATAACTTCTTAAGAACAACTCATCCACAGAAAATTTTCTCAAATGGTTCTCTCTTAAAAGTTAATTTAATTTTGATTTTTAGAAAATTTAAATGATGAAAGACATCTAAAACCCTGATATTTTGATTTTATTACCAACCCAATAAGACTAAACGGGTTAAAAAAAAACCCGAATTCTCTTCAATCCGGGTCGAAACTCATAAAACCATATTTCTTTGATGTTATTGAAATCGCTTTATTCAAAACCAAAGCACTTATCGGAACCCAAACTCATCCATCCTCTACACCGTGAAACTAAAGATCCCGACATCTCGAATTAGTCTTCCTCCTACGATTCTGACATCTTCCTCCTCCTTTGTAAGTGAAATAAGTATTTTATCTCGATTTTATTGGGAATTCAAATGAAATTTCGGATTAGAATCAAATAATTGAAGAAACCCAATTTGTTTTCTACAACTTTGTTTTTCATAATCTAGAATCCGAGATGTTGTTCTTGATTACTTATGTCCGACTGTTGGTTTTGTTTTTAGGTCTGAAAGAGGTCCAAATCCGAGATGGCACGTACAAAAAAACCCGAGCGAGCGTGAAGAGTATTTACCTTTAGAACCAGTACTAGTCAAAGAAGAAGAGTTGCCTGGAGACGATAAGGATCCAGAAGATAATGAAAAACAGAGCTAAATTCAATGGTATGTGTTTTGTGTAAAAACTCAATATAACTTTGTTGGTTTTGTAAGTTTGTAAGATAATTGTGTAACTTGATTTGGATTTGAGGATTTCGAAGATAAAACTGAAGCATTACAATTCCGATTATGTGAAGCCATTCATGATAGCAACAAAGTGTTATATTCATCAAGGGGTGAAGCTTTTTGAGGGTCATCTATCAACTGATAAGTTGAAATAGTTTTTGGAGCATCCACAGTTCAAGCACTTCTTCCATATGCATACGGATTCAAATCACAAGATGATGACCATGTGGATACTTCTTCTACGCACGGCTTGTATTGATAAGAAGAAGAAATGTTGGTTTGTTGTCAACAGTGATCCAATCCTCTATTTTCTCCAAAAATTTGCACTCATCTATCGTTTACAATACCATTCTTATCCAAAAAACTATAAAGCACTTAGCAGCACATGGTAAAACATTTTGGTACTACTACAACAGTAGCATATGCGAAAGTGAAGGACATGCTACTCTCAATGAAGAGATCTACTCCCGACCGTTTGAAGATGACGATCCTATTCTTCCTATGCAACGTGATCATTGGGAAGAGAAAAACAGGAAAACAAGCAAACACTGTAGAAGACTTCTTTCTTAAACCCATGGAAGATCTATAATGGTGTAAAACATTCTCATGTGGTCGATTAGCATTTGATGAAAATATGAAAGATAGTTTTCATCTTGTGGACCACTTTGATGGATTATTGGGCGCATAATGGGTATATCCTAGCTTCGTGGTGCCTCTAGAGGTATATAATTTGAACATGGATTTTCTGTTTATGATATATAAACTAGGTACAACTAGAAAATTTTGTATAACTACTGTTTGAATGTTTTGGTGTTGTTTGTAGCTTCTAGCGTTTGAGGTCATCCCAAATCTAATGAATGAATTCAGAGAACATGATAGAGAAGCAAATCCTGAGTGCCCTAAAATGTGTAAGATGAAATTCAAGCCAACTATTATGAAAGATTTTCCTATTTCGGAGTTGTATGATACTCTTGGTACAACAAAGGTAAGAAATTGTCTAAATGTATATTACCTTAAATTTTTTTTTTTTTTTTTTTTTTTTTATCAACCACACATTCATTAAAAAGTAACTCCATGATTGGTTGCCCAACTAGGTGGAGAAGAGTTTACAAAAGTAACATCAGAAAACAGAAGTCTAGAAGAACGGGCTAAACAGTCCGCCTTAATATTACATAAACGAGAAATAAGAGAAAGCGAGAAAAAGGGAAAAGAGACACGGAGCAACTCCAACTCGTCTAGCAGATTAGAGAATGCGGGCCATTCTTCAGGAGACTGAACCATCGAGACTAACTCAGAACAATCTGTTTCAAAAGCCTGACAATCAATTCTTCTTGAAAGGATATTCTTCATAGCCCAAATTAAAGCTTCCAACTCCGAGTGAAGGGGGGAGGGACATCTCCGAAGGCATTTTGCACCAAGCAGCAAAGTTTGATCTGTTCCTTGAAAACACCACCATCCTATACCCATAGTTGGGTCCGAAGATTTCCAAGAGCCATCAATCCGACATTTTATAGATTGGATTGGGCTTTCCATAATTTCCGTCATAGTGTTATCTTCCATTGGATCCAATTGAGCTTCTTCCCACATTAATTTTTCGCTCAAAGCGTGATTTAAAATATCTGTGGGTTCAGATTGTATTCCTTTGAAAACCTTCTTATTTCTATCTTTCCATATAAACCACAAAATCTAAGCATAACAGTAAGATTTCTCCGCCCCATCTACAGGATGTGGTATCCTCCAATAAAGATAGTCTAGATTAGAGAATTCCGACCTTAGAGGAAAACTACCTGATACCATAGGTATTTCGGATAATTCCCAGACTTTTTGAGAATGTGGGCACTCAAATAAAGCATGATTAATTGTTTCCTCAGCCATCTCACATCTTTTACAGGTAATATCACACCGAATCCCTCGATGAGCTAATTTTGAAGTTACTGCTAAGGATCCCGAAGCGATTTGCCATAAAAAGTGTTTTATTTTTGGAGGGGCTTTGGCTTTCCAAGCTTGTGCTTGTAAAATTTTACAATTTGGACCCCATTCAATCGATTCAGTCATCCCTCGGGCAAGCCGATAGCCTGACTTTACTGTATATCTCCCTGAGTTTGTATGATGCCAAATAAGCCTATCTGGCTTCTGAACTTGACTAATAGTAAGTCCTCGAATTAATTGAATATCCACCGGATCCATAAATTCATGTAGAATAGGAAGGTGCCATTCTTTAGTAACCGGATTAATTAAATGGTTTACCATTAGATTTGGATGTAACAATTTTCCTCTTCCATTTGCGGGACGTGGAATAACATCCGGAAGCCAAGGATCTCTCCAGACCGATAAGTTGTAACCTGAACCTAGGGACCATCTTGCTCCCACTTCAACCAAGCTTTTGGTCGAAAATATACTCTTCCATCCAAACGATGGAGAGTTTGGTTTTTTTGCTTGTAAAGGATGAATATTCCTGAAATATCTACCTTTTAGTACTCGAGCTACTAAAGAGTTTGGAAAATGTATTAATCGCCAGTACTGTTTTGCCAACATGGCATCATTAAACGTGTCTAGAGAGTGAAAGCTCAAACCACCTTTATCTTTATCCATACACAATTTTTTCCAAGCAATCCAATGGATCCCACGGTCTCTCCCATTGGAACTCCACCAATAATTTGAGATTGCACTTGTTAACTTAGATATTAACTCTTGAGGAAGTTTAAAACAAGACATAATCATCG